CAAGTATAATATACTTAAGTTAAAAAAATCAAATTAATAATTTATATTTAACTTTCGCCTGTATTTTTATATATATTTTTTTTTTATAAATTTTTTTATCGTATCATAGATTTTAATACAATAGCATATAATGTATGTATCAATGTACACGAGCAAATGTAATAAAAAAAGATCCGTTGTTAAACTCCTAACTCAAATCTTAAACGTATTTAATCTAATTCATTATATTATAATAATGAATGATAATATCATCGAAAAATAAATTTATTATAAAATTAAATAAACGAGAATAGAAAATTAAATAAATTTGTTTATTCAATGAACGAATAGTTTATAAAAAATAAATATATATTTTCTTTATTTCCCTGTTTAGTTAATTAATTTTATTTCGAAAAAAGCATTATTTGTTTTTTTTTTTAGCAGAACGATTTTGTAAATCAAATTAAGATCAAAATCATCAATTGTATGTGTATATATATTTTTTGCCATTGCATGTTTTTATTTAACAAATGTCGAGATTTTCAGTGTAAGGATTTAAAAAAAAAAATTTTTTTTCTTATCTTATACGAAGAGGGGTTAGTTTGAGAGATGTAAAAGCGTGCTTACTTCCGGTCGAGCAGTCAATTTGGCGTTTCTGTAACATATAAACACAATTGAGCGAAACTTAAAAAAAAATTTGGATGGAGAAAAGATTAATAAAAATGATTAGCATCAAAATTGCTTTTATAGTATAATATCCATATTGGATAAAAGTTATTATTTTATATCTATTTTCTTTTTATACAAATATATATAGGATATAAGATTACACATGTCCAACAATTTGATTTCAATCAAAATAAAAAAATAAAGTTATTTTCCGATCTGTATCGATTTGACAGTATCTATTTGACATTTTATTTTATTTTCTAGATTTAATATTATATCGTTGTTCGATTTTATTTTTTGAGATATTTGCGAAAAAAAAGTAATTAAATAAAATTTTAAATATAGATATATTATATAAATTTTATATGTATATGTATATGATAATATATGCATTAATTGCAGTCAGATTGCAATTTGTCTTTTGTTTAATATAAATCATTGCGATATCAAGAAATTACTTACATACTATACATTGAATTACTTAAAAAATTATTTCATCATGAATCACGATAGGCTGAAAATATTTCGATCCCAATGCAAGATAATAACGAGTTTAGGCAGAAATATTCCTTTATGATGTGATCAAAAATCATCAAAATGAAGTGAGGAAGCTTTTTTCTCTCCAAATATTAATTATATTGAAATATTTTTTGGCTTTATTTTTTTATTTATTGGTAATTAATTGATGAAAATATCTCTCTATACGAATAATAATATAATTGCAATGTATAGTAATATTTTCAAATTCAACAACATGTTATCTCATAATTACTCTTTATTCCAAGATAAACAAAAAGAGTACAATTTTGCCTATTTTATCGAAGAAAAATTTTGTTTGAAATTTTTTAATATCAAAAATAATAGTAAAAAAATAAAAAGAAAATCAACTATTGTAAAATAAATATATTAATTGCTTAAGTTATTAGAAAAATTATAGCGACGGTTAACTGGACATCCTGTATATTTCAAAATAATTTATAACTTTTGTAATTATAATACTTACATCATTTCCATACACGGTTTGATTTACGTTCTTAGTCTGCATCATCTAAAACATCAAAGAAATACTCGTTATAATATATTTTTGTTAACCATATTCAAATCAAAGAATCTTTATATTTTTCAATTCCGACAACATATTTAAAAAAAAATTTTATATATATATATATATATATA